TCACGTCGGGTGTTCCTTTGATCCCCTATATCAGCCGTTCTCAACCTGTGGGTCGAGACCCCTTTGGGGGTCGCACGACCCTTTCCCAGGGGTCACCTAAGGCCGTCTGAAAACACATATACACTACAATTATAAAGTATCCACGAAAATTATTTTGTGGTTTGGGATTGCCACAACATGAGGAACTTAATTAAAGGGTCGCGGCATTAGAAAGGTTGAGAACCTCTGCCCCATATACTCTCCGGGGTCGGGTGGGGTCGGATCAGGTCAGGTTAAAAAACCGAAGTGAGAATCTAAATCAAGGCTTCATTTCCAAGCTATGGCCGTCTAGCTGGCTGGTCAGTTTATCGTTATATTTATATTTTAATCAATAGGGGTTTCCATTTCAGAAAACGTCACATCACATTACGCAATGTTACTATTTTTAGACAATGTTTTCGTAAAACATAGCTTCTTACAATATAATTCTGCATGTATACAGCAGTAGATGTAAGAATTTGTTTGTAAAATCTTTCGTAAAATACAGTTGCAAACACATTTTCGTCTAGGGTAAAGGCTCAACTTAACGTAGAAGTACCGAACAGCTGTTGAGATATTGGCCAAACGGAATACCAGGATGTTTTTATTCATATTCATATCTTAAAGAGATTGACCAGACTGCACGCCCGGATGTTCTATGAATTAATAGATTTCCAATTTCCGCCTTTAAATGACAAACCTTCTATACTCTACATATATATTTCTCTAGGTATGAAAGAAAGTATGGTGTAATGGTGAATTCAATAGCGCGCAAAATACAACTCCCGATAACTGCGCTCATTGAGATGTTTTTTTTGAAAACACTCCCAAGGAAAATATAGCTTGTTTGGGCGGCTATAAAACGTAATATTTGACGCTCATTGACTTCCCTGATCAAGATAATACCTGTCGATGTTCTTTTTATTTCATTGGTAGAACTTTCATTAGCAAACTTGTAATTTTCTAATAACGGACTAAGGCTGGTTTGAAGGATAATACAAGCGTGTGTCAAATGAAAGCACACAATATATGCTGAAATAGCCTGACAATTTTTCTCTTCGAAATTCATTACAGTAAATGATATATTTTTTTAACATTTTATTTTCTCAAAGCCAAGTTTAAAAATCAAATGTTCAACTTTAATACATGATAACTCTATGACATTGTGTATTAACTCTATGACATTGTGTATTAACTCTATGACATTGTGTATTAACTCTATGACATTGTGTATTAACTCTATGACATTGTGTATTAACTCTATGACATTGTGTATTAACTCTATGACATTGTGTATTAACTCTATGACATTGTGTATTAACTCTATGACATTGTGTATTTCTATAAGTAAATAACATTTTTTTAACAAAATAACCGACTTTTAATTAAAAGGTAAATTTTTTAAAAACAAAAATCGGACAGTGGTCAACCTAAGGGGGTGGGTACACCACCCGGGGCGGAACTCTTGGGGTTTATAGCCAACATTATTATATTTTTTTTTTAAATGGAGGGGGTGTACTTTTGGGGGTATGCACAAGAACAGTCTTAAATCAAGATACCCCACTGAGTATGTGAGTAGTGCCAGGTATTGTTATTTAAATTGATATACCAGGTATTGTTATTTAAATGGTATTGTTATGTTCACTTGTTTTTGTTCGCTCAAGAAGCATTTTTATCAGCTCGTTCGTTGTTTCGTTAAGACATTTTTTTTTTTTAAAGTGTTCCCCCCTCATTGTGCAAATTATTTCATGTTTGGAGAATCGCTGGAGGGTAGGATCATTAGTAGACCAAGCTTTCAGTTGAATCCAAAAATGGGAAATGTTTCGTGTTCCAGCATAGATAACCTACTGGCCAGTCACAGACTTTCTTATCCGGTGAGCTAAATAGCTACAGATTTGGGCCTCACAAATCGGGCTAGACCTTCAAACAATCTATACTGGTATATCGCACAAGTAGTGCAAACGTGTGTTCTACGCTCGACTGCCTGCCCTACAGCGGTCTCCTCATTCACAGAAAATCAAACTAATCTTCGAAGAATTGTTGACCTTCAATGCCTTCACCTCCGGCCCTGTAACCAATCTCGCCCGTTCGCCTAGCAACGCTCCCGTGCTAGTTACTATTGCGCACCATTGCGCACCATTGCGCAGCAGCCACCGTTTGTATCAGAGGTGCATGAACCCTGTTTAGATGTGTGTGTGTGTCCATGCCGACCCCATTGTAACGTGTTGTTTTAGCCGCCTTGAGCTGCTGACGCTAACTAAAGGTGGAATGCGTGTCTAAACGGGGGGCGAGATTGGCATCTACATTGTTAGGGCATTACGACCGAGGCGATTGTTCTTAGAAACTTTGAGTTTGATCAACGTCACCCAGATTTAAACGGATATCCAGAACAACACTGAATGGTATATGGTAAGTATTTAACTAATTATTATTAACGAATTAGCGTGCAGTGGTCACGAGCCTTTTGGCTTCCGGGTACAAATAACACCCCCACCCCCCAATGTTCCCTTTAAGCTGCGCTGCTGCGCGGCGCAGCAAATTTCCATGTAAGTGAGTGGGCTGTAGAATTTTGCTCACAAAAAAAAAATTGAAGCTGTAAAACTTTGCACACAACTGTAGGATTTTCCACACGAACCAACAAACCTTAGAGGGAACATTGCCTCCCCCCCCCTTGTCTTTCTTTTTTTAATCCTATAACCGTAACCGAAGAGAAATAGCCACCCTCTTTTCCCAAGTCTTTGACCATAACCCAAGAGAAATAGACAAGGAAAGAGGGTGGCTATTTCTCTTGGGTTATGGTCAAAGACTTGGGGAAAGAGGGTGTCTATTTCTCTTGAGTTATGGTCAAATACTTAGGGAAAGAGGGTGGCTATTTCTCTTGGGTTATGGTCAAAGACTTGGGGAAAGAGGGTGGCTATTTCTCTTGGGTTATGGTTAAAGACTTGGGGAAGGGAAAGAGGGTGGCTATTTTTCTTGGGTTATGGTCAAAGACTTGGGGAAAGAGGGTGGCTATTTCTCTTGGGTTATGGTCAAAGACTTGGGGAAAGAGGGTGGCTATTTCTCTTGGGTTATGGTTAAAGACTTGGGGAAAGAGGGTGGCTATTTCTCTTGGGTTATGGTCAAAGACTTGGGGAAAGAGGGTGGCTATTTCTCTTGGGTTATGGTCAAAGACTTGGGGAAAGAGGGTGGCTATTTCTCTTGGGTTATGGTCAAAGACTTGGGGAAAGAGGGTGGCTATTTCTCTTGGGTTATGGTCAAAGACTTGGGGAAAGAGGGTGGCTATTTCTCTTGGGTTATGGTCAAAGACTTGGGGAAAGAGGGTGGCTATTTCTCTTGGGTTATGGTCAAAGACTTGGGGAAAGAGGGTGGCTATTTCTCTTGGGTTATGGTTAAAGACTTGGGGAAAGAGGATGGCTATTTCTCTTGGGTTATGGTCAAAGACTTGGGGAAAGAGGGTGGCTATTTCTCTTGGGTTATGGTCAAAGACTTGGGGAAAGAGGGTGTGTTCCAAAATAAACTTTAACAAACAATGAATGTTGGAACTTACTGGGACTACACGCAGTGTGCTCCAAAGTAAACTTGAACTGAACAAACAATGAAAGTTGGAACTTACTGGGACTGCACGCAGTGTGCTCCAAAGTAACATTGGACAAACAATGAATGTTGGAATTCACTGAGACTACACCCAGCTTGCGCATGTGTGCATACTCATGCACAACACCCCCCACCCCCCCCCCCTTTTGCCGAAGTTCTTTTTGAACGACCCCCCACTCCCTGTGTATTTTGTAAAAGACTGGGTATCTTCGCCGTGACGTATAACACCAAACTGCTGTCCTGATCCGGCCCGTGGGTCTAGATTTTCACACTGCTTCTCTAAAGACGACGCACTAAAGAACGACTGGTGGGAAGTTTCAGGTCCATGACTTAGTCAATAGGCCAAACTTTCCGTTTTCGTTCATCAAATCGTGACAAGAGGGAAATGTTTCGTATATTCCTGCGGAAACTCACGGCAGTCTCTTTCCCCTTCTTGGAACAGGGTCTGTAAGTGTAAGTAGTGTAAAGATTGCTCTTTCTTGGGATGTTCTTTTATTTGATAAGGGACTCTACTCTAAAGTATTAAAACTGAACACTCGATTTAGGAAGAAGAGGTTGATGCACCGTGCACCAGTTATATAACAAATAATAGCATATAATATTAAATAATATACGTAGTGTATTTCAAACTCGTTTGGCCCGCTCCAACCTAAGGGAAAAGAAACCAAAAAACTCTTTTGGGCCCGCGCCAACACTCTTTTGGGCCCGCTCCAACACTCTTTTGGGCCCGCTCCAACACTCTTTTGGGCCCGCTCCAACACTCTTTTGGGCCCGCTCCAACACTCTTTTGGGCCCGCTCCAACACTCTTTTGGGCCCGCTCCATCTTAAGGGAAAAGAAACCAAAAACTCTTTTGGGCCCGCTCCAACCTTAGGGAAAAGAAACCAAAGACTCGTTTGGGCCCGCTCCAACCTAAGCGAAAAGAAACCAAAGACTCGTTTGGGCCCGCTCCAACCTAAGCGAAAAGAAACCAAAGACTCGTTTGGGCCCGCTCCAACCTAAGGGAAAAGAAACCAAAGACTCGCTTGGGCCCGCTCCAACCTAAGCGAAAAGAAACCAAAGACTCGTTTGGGCCCGCTCCAACCTAAGGGAAAAAAAACAAAAAAGAAAGCCTAATCTTAGGTTGCAGAGTCAACATTCCTGGTTGGTGACGGAAAAAACCCTACCTGTCCCATACTTAGTGGTAGGTGGCAGAAAAATTGTCCTGCCCAATGTGGGTGCTTTTAAATATAATTGACTCGTAACTTAAGATATTTTTGTTTATCCTATAAAATACCGTACCAGTGTTGTTGCCCGGCGTAAAAGACGCAGATCTAACCCCCTTATTTAAAAAAAAAAAAAATGATTACCCATAAGACGCTCCCAAAAACAACTGCACATTTTGAAATGAGAGTAAACTGAATTTATTTATATGTTATGTGACTTAATATGTTTATAACAAATATTAATTTTCAATCATCTTTTAGTCTCTATTCACTGCTTGACATTTCTGTCAGTAAATAACTTTGATTTATGAATTTGTAAAACTTACTTGTTAGTATAAAACAAACATAACATTTAAAAAAAAAAAAACTTTATTTCACCTATTACCCGACGTTTTATTTTCTTTGTTGCCAACAACTACCCCAGTGTGGGTGATGTTAGTATAGAAGTCAATTAACTTAATTTGTTAACACGAAAGGTTAAAAGTCACTTAACCAAAAAAGTTGCTGGTTTCTCGATGGTGAATATACAGATTTAAAAAATGAAGAAATCCATCATGGCAAGCTATGCCGAGTGCTTATGAAAATAGGACACAAGCTGTCTAATACTTGTAAGTGGCATGCTGTCCTCATCTTACAATTTTGTCTCAACATTTGTACCAGATTTCAAATGGCGAAGAGAGGACAGTTTCAACTAACTCAATATGGACACATGAAATCCTACTACAGGGCATTTCCTCAAGTACGTAAAGAGTTTAAAGACTAAAACAAGGTAACATTTTGAAGAATAAAAAAAATGAGGGGGGGACATTATAATCACTGACAAGACATGACTTATTGGTATAGTCTACTATTTTCATACTGCCACTGTTTTCATATAGCAACTACAAATTACAAAGATTGACCCGTTAAACAGACAATATTATTATTACCTTGCCAGGACTCATGACAAGATTTGGGGTTAAAGACTGTAACATACTACAACTTTTAAGAATGTACTTTTGAATGTCATCAAGTCAGTCAAGCCCATAAAAATATATAGAAAAAACTGCTTACATAGCACATAAAAAAAACAACGGTATGTGAAGGGTAATAAAAACACTTTTATTCCATTTTAGAGGGAAAAACTTTCAGGAATTTCAGACTGACCAAAAGCTTACAGTTTTCCGGAAATACACAGGAAATCTGCAAATTTAATGAAGCAATAGGTTAGGGCAGCGTTTCCCAAACTGTTAAGTTTCACGGACCGGTGGACAAGTTTCGAAACTGCATCAGGGACCGGTGCCAGATTTATTCATTACATTTTTTCTTTCTAGTTAAACATCAATATTCATGCTCTCCGGACAGGTAACGTAAGGCTTGCGGACCGGTGCCTGTCCATCGTTTGAGGAACACTGGGTTAGGGGGGACATAAACTGAACCTCTCGGAGCCATCCTCATGGTTCATCTAAAGGCCGCCCCAACTGATCAGCACCCATCACTTATTACACTTATTATTATTTGCTTTAAAAAAAAAATGAAATAAAATGGCGTGATCTTTGCAAACCATTGTCAGTTACCCCATGGCACTCATTTTTACAACAATGAAAACAAAAGACAAGTTCATCTTAGTTAAATATAACTTCACAACCATTTTTTTTTACATCAATAAAATCAATGGCAAACCTGTAAATATGAATAGAAAGAAATGTGAGTAAATTCTACAAATAAATAGTGATATAAAAAATATGGAGGAGCTTTCACTCAATGGTCTATCAGAAAATGGATTGGAATGTATTTTAGCAATCGGAAAAGAAAAAAATCTCATCCAATATTGGATTGGAAGACAAGGCTAAGTAATAGAACACTACAGATAATGATTTAGATTATTCATGAGGAAAAATTTCCACAGAAATGTTTTGAAAACAAAGCTAAACTGCAAAAATTGCACTGAAAAGGTCAAATTTGATTCAACTTCAACACATGTAGATAATACATTATTTTAAACATTGTATTTTGAATTAGAAGATTGAATACATTAAAGTTACTAACACACTCAAATTTGCAATGGAGTCACTTTTAATCATGGCAAAGATTAATTTCTCAAGTTGAGATTGAGAGTGCAAAACGGCTGAAACTGTTACCTACAGCTACAACAATCCATGTCAGAAAGAAGGAAACTAAAGGAAGGGTTTCTTTACACTGCCTCCTAAACATTGACCTTCTTATTGCCCCTGACATTCATTTATAAAGCTGAATTCGGATCAGACCTATATGTTTTGTTAATAACTTTAGAAAGTGGTACCATTACCGGTTTTTGCACACAATTTGCATTATATGATTATTATAAAAGTGCAAATCAACAATTCCATCAACTGATTTCATTCATAAATTATACTTGAGCAACTAGTTCATAAAAAGCATTGTATTTTGGAAGAATATCTGGAGTACTTATCTAACAATCATGGTGGTAAAAAATAACCTTAAGAACAAAGGGTGGGTATATTATGTCAAACATCAGTACAATTTTTTAGTAAAGAACAGACCTAACATTCTAAATGGAACATCTTTTATGAAGGCTCACTTGGAATGTCTCATAATGTAGGTTCAGTTGGAATGTCTTACAATGTAGGCTCATTTGGAATGTTTCATAATGTCTGCTCAGTTGGAATGCATCTCTGATATGCTTTTTGGAGTGTTGCAATGGAATGTCTATGTCACTACCGTTACCATAGTACATATTAATAAATATATGAATGAATATTAAAAGTAAAAAAATAAAACATCAAAATTATAAGCTGATTAGGTGAAACCTGATGTGGCTTTAAATAAAAATGACAAGCTAAAAAAATATGCACACAATTAAGGTGCAGTAAGTGCTAGTTTCTCTATGAATAATTGTAATACCCCCTTAAAAAGTTTTGTTTTGTCACTCAATGTTTCGGTTTGCTTTATCTCTTTTAACTTTCATTAGAAACTGCAGCTGCCAACCATTTAACCTTAAAACACAACCCACCCCTTGCTTATTAAAATGTTCAACATTTTTAAAATATAAAACAAAACTTATGCAATTAGTTGTTTTAAGAGCTAGCATCAAGAGAGTAGCTGTGAAAAGTAAGTGGCTATTCATAACAATGGATGAACTTTGATCCCCTAAATAATGTGAGATGGCTGTTAATAGGTTAATAATCGGCTTGAGGTGTCATGATGGTGTCAACAAAGCTGGCAATGTTCACCTGGCCGGTTGCTTGAACTCCTGCCTCACGGAATAGGGAGTCAACTGGAGAAATATTAGTTATTTATCTTAAAATTTATCTCTGTTCTCTACAGATTCAACAATTACAATACACGAACCAGAAGTAAATAATGAAAGATTAACATTAGATGACAGAGTAACATCTGAATGATCTTATGAGGCTAAGAATCAAATGGGGGAGGAGGGAGGTGGAAGCAGTAAGACCAACACATGACAATGATTTCAAGGTTAATATGGAAAATGAAGATTTTTTATTGTACTAGTTATAGACCACCAAACAATGATGGTGGCAATGCGTGAACTTTCAAGACAAAACAATCATTTAAGTAACAAATTTTTAAAGAATTCCAATTTGTGATAACTCCTCCCCTATGTACACAACTGCCTCTTAAATATTATAATGCCACACCCCCTTCAACACAGCAGATTTATTACATCTTATTTAAATTGAGACTACTTTCATAAAACAAAAGAAAATATTATGCAAATTAACATACTATTATTTTTTTAAATCTCATTTAGCGCAGTTATCTGGAATATTATTTTGCACTCTATAGATCTCACCATTACGCAATACATTCTTTATACTGGTACACAGGAAATTTTATTTATCAACACTATAAAAATGATCTATTTTGTTTTACAATTTTTTTTCTTCTTTTTACTTTATGACATTCTTTGTCATATCAACAAATTTGTAATATGTATTTTATTAATAAGCACCAAAAAAAAAAAATGGGAGACACATGAACTTTAGATGTGGTAAGCATAATAAAAGTATAATATAAAGATTATTTTACAAATTTATTATTACTGTGTAATATAATAATAATATGAAACATTTGGTGTTGACAGTAAACCAATTTTAAAACTTTGTGACATAAAATTGAAATAATATTTTTTCTTTCCATTCTTTTACTATTGATTTGTGTACCTTGTTTAATTAAGAGACCTCTAGTCTCACTGCAAAATTTTTTGTTTAGCTTTTCTTACCTTCCTTGGGGCTAAGTTTTTCCCCAATGTTGGTTAGAATGTGCCTCAGCTCAGAGGCATTTAAATAACCTCTTCTGTCTCTGTCTTGGGCAACAAGAGCTGCTTTCAGTTCCTTTTGCTTGTTCTCAACAAGGGAATGGTTGTGCATGATGTTGAGGAAGGAGGCAAAATCTATCCGACCATCATCTGAAATATAAATTTAGAGTTTGGACAGCTAAAAAAAACTTTACTCTACAGAGGTTGATTATAATTTTTTTTTTAAATTGGACAATTAATGATTGAAAATCAGAAAGAAGTCATGAGAAAGGCATGACATTCATAGCATCCAGTTTTTTTATGTTAAAGGCTATAAAAAAAATATAGTCAAATCCTTGATTTTCATGGTATAGACAAAGTAGAAAATTGAAGATTCTTATTTGAGACTGACAACAAAAATAACTTACCAGCAGCAGCAGCTTTTGAAAAATATGTGTGGACTTCATCCTTGGTGACACAATAATTCAGTGATCGGATTATGATTGATAGATCCCCTTCACTGGTGATGTACCCTTTCCTTGCGTGGAAAAAAAAACATTCTTTGAAGGCTGAAATGAAAGGAAAATAATTAAAACTCATTAAATCTTGTGTAATGTAAAACTTAGTTGAACCTTATTTGGTGTCCCTCAAATTTTACTTCCAGGTTAAAAAACTTAGTTTATGCACAAGTGTGTTAATAAAACTTGGGTTTTACCTTCAGGGACCTGTCTATGAGACATACCTAAAACTTGGTGGTGTTGCAACTGTTACTTTTTTAAATGATAACTAAAAAAACTCAGTTACTTTTTAAAATGATTAATAAAAAATCCTAACATGTTTTATCAGTTAAATTTCTATGTGTCTGTACTATATTCAGCTCGAGCTGTTTTAAATTCTTCTCAGTATTTATATTTTTGAAGTAAAACATTTTAACTTAATTTATTGTAAGGGGTGTACATGACACCAGTAGGTAAATGGCTACCCCTTAATTGATAGGCATTCATTAAATTCAAACAAACTTAAAAAAAAATTGACCAAACTTGAAGGGTTCTCTTCTTAAATTGTAGGCACATTGGTTATGATAAGATATTATCTGCAGATTATAATCCCAATGTTATTGTGTATTTATACCCCACTTATCACACTTAAGCATCAGCAAACTAAATTCTAATGGATTTTATTGCTTCTCATTGTTTCCATAGGTGAGAAATTTAGATCTTTCATTTGCATAGATTTTTAGCAAAATAATGTGTGTGTTGTTTTTGTTTAATCTATGTCCGGTGCCTTGAACTAAGGAAAAAAAATTTTAAAATAACAAAAAGATATGTTTGAAATTTTGATTATATCTTCTCAGATGTACACTGTGATGAAATTTAACTGGGCATTAGAATTCAACAGTGATATATTAAAAACAACTCATAAACTCTATGTTCGCCATGCATCTCCAAGTTGGAACTTGTGTTGGCCTTTTGAGATTTAGTTATCTAAAGACTTAATCCCATCTTAAGGATGGTGAGGTAGCTTTTATATATGTTATACCACGAAACTTGTCGGGATATACAACATTAATACAAGCCTTATTTTATAATTCATTGTGTAATTAATATTGAGAAGATCCTTTGTACAACATCGACGCTAGCCATACACACTTGCACCACTATGTTAAAGACTAATAATGTTACCCACACAATAGTTGTTTGTGTTTAAGCTAATGCCCCCTCCAATGACTCGATGTGAATTTGTTGTTTTTGGAAAGGGACGTTTCAGCTTATGACTATTGGAAAAGTTGATCTCTTCCTTTTTATTATATCATTTCACATGTAGCCTGGTTGCTGTATTGCAAGAAATCTCAACAACTTAGCAGCTTGATTGAGGATTATTTCCCAGAGGCCGGATTCCAAGGATTTAACCCATTATCCATCAGGAAGAACAAGCCTGCATAGATGGGACCGTGTGTTGATAGGACTTTACACCCCAGACACAGAGCTGGGAAGTATACACCCCACAATGCACAAGGGAAAGGCTATTCCACAATGTACTGCTGTGACGTCCACTTTTGATCCCACCCTAAGAAGCCACCTAGAAGAGGACTGGAGGAACCACTTTGAACATTGAATGGACCTAGTACATTGATCGATCAGGCCAGATCATCAATCATTTCATAATGATAAATTATGTTTTAAACGGGCTGATCATATAAAATATTGTTACAAAGCAATAGACTATTATGATGAATGTTAGGCATTATGGTAGACCAATGTCCATAGCCCAAAGAACCTAGATATAAATAATATGCAAAGGTAGATCTAAACTATTTTATAGGCTATGAATTCTCATATCCTTAACTTTTATAACTTCTATGAAGTGTTGTAAAGCCTATGTAAATAGATACCGTATTTTCGCGCATATAAGACACACGTAATTATAAGACGTACTCATACATAAGACGCGAGTTTTAACGATTTGTGTAAAAAATATTTTACATAAGACACACCCATATATAAGACGCAGGTTTTGACGATTTGCGTGAAATTTTTTTACATAAGATGCATGTGGCCTAGGCATCCGCCACACTGAACAATTTATATCCAGTGGTTTCCTTTCCTTTATCATAAATGAAAATTTGTCCAATGTTTCATTACCCGTCCAATGTGAATAAGGCTTCATTGCCATTTTTGGTTTACCGATAGATCAAAGAATTGTCTGAGGCAGGACCACAACGATTATTGTTTATTCTTAGCTGCCGCCAGGCCAATAGCGAATTGATTGAGTACCTGGTATGTAGATTCTAAAAATAATAAACGCCAGATTTAAAGGCGGCTTCATTTATCTGCTAAGCCAAGTCTGCAGCGAGTGGGATTAGTACCGTACATAGACTAATAAATATGATTTGTGTAAAAAATATTTGACATAAGACACACCCATATATAAGACACAACTTGGGTGCGGGGTAAGTAAAACTTTGCGTCTTATTTATGCGAAATACTGTAAGTTTATTTCATGAAAATGGAGATTCCTTTGATATATACATATAAGTGAATATGATCATAAAAGAGCCTTTGGTGTGAAATGAATCAAATACAAAACCCCTAGACGCGAGCAGGTGATAAACTAATACAAGAGTTATCCACCTACAATAGCATAAAAGTCATTTCACCATACACATAGATAATTTAAGTTTGACTTCTGGATTTCTTAGACATCAATGTAACCACAAAAAATAAATCTATAACCCCATTATACTTTTTTAAACTATACATTTTATGAAGGACATTTTTCAATTAGGTAAAAAAATATTGATAGTTTATATTCAATGGGAGTCGCTTAGTCACTTCCTTGTTTGGTCACGTGATGTGAGTAAGCCATCACTAGGCTGCTATACACAACTAAAGATACTTCATCAGTGCTTCCCCAATGTCATGTTACGTAAAAATTTTACCTTTCGAAATATTCTGGAATACATGCGTTTTTTAAATGAAATACACAAATGTGACAATAAATATATGTCAGTTATGATTAAAGGAAGAAATTTATTTCAAGAAAAATTTGTGAGCGATATTCGATGGGAACTATCAATACTATTATCGGCAGGATGTTGTTGAGCTCCGTGCGTGCTCATGACGTCATTTGCGTTTTTATTCAATATTGATGCAGGAGTCATTCCCCTTTGTTTTTTTGTTAATTTTCATTGGACGAAATGTAGTGTGTATCGGGCTACTGTTGTCAAGCTCTAGTGTGTTGTATACAGCCTACCGGAAGTCTTACTCGTTTTTACTCACATCACGTGATAAATCAATCGACTAAGCCACTCCCATTACTATTATTTAACTTTGTACTCACCATCTATTTGATTTTCACTGAAGTAATGAGCCTGTAGATAGAATAGATTTTTAAAAAATTAAGTCAAAAGTAGTTTTGGGATTGAGGCTTCCTTGTTTATTTCTAATATTCTATTTCAATGTCATAATCACCTAATTACAATCACAAATCATGTCTATCACAATCTACCCATTCCCATTGTGACATGACTGATTGATTGTACATGTTTACTATGGAAAAACTGAAGCTGTTGACATTGATTCCCAATTCTGGTCATGATATTAAATATATTTTTGCGCGTATGGTTTCTCATTTCCCAGCTTTTTCCTTGACCCTGTATTCCTGAATAAAATTGAATCTCCTTCTGGGAAACTCAAGATAAGACATAATTTTAATTAAAATATATTATTAACTAAATTAGCCTAGAAATTGAGGTTTTTAAAGACATTTAATAAGTTTTGTATTCTCAACTGTGGGCAAGATGTAGGCCAATATTTCAATTAAAAATACATGATAGTATAGTGTTCAAATGTTCAAAAATAGAATAATTACTCTTTCTCTCTGAAAACTATGGAGTATCCCTGCACTGATTGACTTACACAGCATTTTCTTATTAGAAGTATTATATTTAAAGGTTAAGTTTTTATTACTTTAGACTTTATTATACTTTATAAATTTTAATAAAAGTAAAAAGTTTTAATTAAATGTTAAAAATACAAAACTAAAATTTGTGTGTGTTTTATTACAATTTAAAAAGCAATCAATTATATTTATTAATTTTACTTTTAAGCAGTGGGGAAGATACTGATACATTATCAGTTTTGCAACGCCCGGTTTTTAATAATTAAATCAAAGAAACTTAAATGTTTTGGCCAACATAGGAGTCATTTGCATGTTTATTTAGAACAAATTAATTTTAATTTTATTTCCACAATATTAACAAGGCACTAAAAACCACTAAAAAAACAATTGTCTGATGTTTGGGTTTTCCCAATAAATGTCATTAGATGTAATTGTAATTCTTAGATCATAATTTTTTAAATAATTTTTTTTTTCTTTACTTTTAAATTCTGATAAAATGCTTAAAATAGTTCTTTAGTTGTTACTTTAAATATATTTGTAATTTATAATAATAATAATACTTAAACTTTTACCAAGTATTACAACTAGTCTTAAAAAAGCTTTTTTTAAAGTTTTTGTTATTTTTTACACATTTAAATTTAAAAATAGTAATACTAGTAATAGTAATAGTAATAGTAATAGGCATACTGACATCATACTGCTACCAGTAACTTAAGTAACTAGGCTAATAATAATAAATATACCTTCTAATACTTAAACTAAAATTTAAATACTAAATAATCTAAATTAGTCTAAATAATAATAATATATAATTGATTTCTGATTATGACTTGACTTAATGATTAATGAATTAATGATTGGACTGATACTGATTCTGGCTGATTGGTGGTTTCATTGTTGTCCTAGTCTAGCCTAAATGAACTTGGCGATTGTTAAAATTGTTTTCCAATTATCATCTAATCACTTTTTTTTTTCAACATTAACGCAGTCCTCCCCGTATATCTCTGTTTAATGCTACCACATCCATTCGTCGTCGACCCTGGTTTGTTTAACCTAACTATAGATGTATAAAGACACTTCCCTTACCATCTTTACTTGAAGCCAATCGATGCCAAATTTTTAAGCAATTTAAAAGAAAGGAGAATCTATAAATACATTTTAAAAAACAGGTTGAGGCTGTTGAGTGTAGTTCAAATATCAATTTCCTTTAAAATCAAGTCACTCAGATATATTAAAAACAATATAAATGTTGAATGCGTACTTTTAACATATATTATTTTCACATTGCATTTTTTATTTCATGAAAAAAAAATTTAAGAATTAAATTTTGGTAATTAGCTTAACGGGCAAATTGTACATAGCAAAGAATAAAAAATCCCTACTTTTACTTTTATTTAACATTCGATACTTAAATTAATTATTTCAATACTTTAATAAAAAATTATACATCAAGATATTTTTACGTTTTGCTTTATATTTCTAATATAAATAATGTCCTTGAGCATTTACAAAAAAAAAAAAAATTGATTCCAAATTAAAACAAGCATGAAAGTAAAGTAATACACGAAATTATAATTTAACATCTTTTTTCTTAGAAGGTTTCGGAATTTTGTTACTGTTCTTGTAACTTGTAATGCTATTACCATTGAGTTAGTGATGGTAGCTAGTATCTTCATTTAGATATTTCCCGAAATAGAGAGCACAAAATGTATTTATTACTTTTTTTTTTTAAAAGTCTGGTTTCACTGGCATATTTATTATATTAGTCTAATCGGATTAAGAAATCTATTCAGAGTCAAAGTCAAAATGTATTATTTTCGGCGAATTTTAAAAAATATACTTTTTTTTTAATTTTTATTTTGACTGCATGACAGAGAATGCAATATTATAATGTTCTTAAGTGTATACAACTTCTTTGAAAGGGATGCGGAGGGAGCAGTCCGCCACGGGCGGCACTTTCTTTCATTTATATTGAGGGATCGGTATTTTAGACTAGCTTAACAAACTACAGTTGTTGTTTTATTTTTTTCGTGTAAAAAAAGTGTATGCATGGGGGGGGGGGTGGGCACACACCCCTAGTTATACCGCTTAGGGCATCCTACATACATTACTTTAATTAATATGCTTACAATGTGACCACAGGGGTAATATTTAATTGCTAACCATTCATATGTGATGGTTCATTAATAGCGTAAATAACAAATAATAATAAGTCATGGCTTTCTAAGCATCCATGGGCGCCCGCAGGGGGGGGGGGCAAGTGCCACCTTGCCCCCCCTGGATTGATTGGATGAAAAATAAAAAATAAAAAAAATAGACAAAAATGTATTAAAGTAAAGAGAAAGTAACTAAGCTGATGTCCCGTCCGTTTGTTCACCATACAAATACGCTACAGTAAATTAAAACTACATTAAAACATTACTAAAAAAAATTTTAAAAAAAATTTTCCCCCCCCCCCGGAAATTTAATTTATTTTTTTTGCCCCCCCCCCCCCCCATAGAAAGTTTTCTGCGGGCGCCCATGTAAGCATCCACGTTCTTACAAAAACGGCAAGCCATATAGGCTGGACATGTTGCTAGAATACCAGAAAGGAGACTGCCTAAAAAACTTAGGTACAATTAAGGAAATGGGCTAAGCGAAGTTTGGGAAAACCTGAAAAAAATGACGCAGCAAAACAACGAACGTGTCGTCAAGAACCCTTCTTCAGCAAACAAACAACAGTAAACACGATTTAACATTTTTATTAAAAAAAAAAACAAACACTGAGTTACGTTGTAATATCTGAGAGGACAGCAAGAGGAATATGATAGAACATAAGTATGTGAGAGAGTTAATACAGACAAAAGGGGGCAGAAGAGAGGAAAAGTAAGTCGACTGCGATTGGTCATAACAAGGAGGGGGCGGAGAAAAGTGAATGAGAACATGAGATTAATGTCAAATAAGGTCCACTTAGTCTGAATCAGTTTGTTCTCCAAGTTCACTCTGTTTGACGTGTTGGTACAAGACACAATGGCGATGATAGCAAAATCCCTTGAGTCCTTGTGGTCGCTTCTATTGGAGTGCTTTTAGATGGGACACTGCTTATCTTTCGCACTATTTCGTATGTGTTCAGTACATCTGTTCGAGGGTTGCCGTCCAATCTCATTTAGATACGCCATCTGGCAGCGGGTACAAACAATGTTGTCTACACCATTGAGGCGAGTACAAAGGAAACCGCCCCTTATCTGAAAACTACCCCCAGGAAATGAAATGTGTTGAGTCTGGGTCAAAAAGGGACACGTTTTGCAATGGATGCGTCCTCGTGGCTTGGTCCCAAAGTGGGAAGGGCAGCGCGGATGTGACTAAGCGCAGGGAGATATGGCATATTTTTTATATCCTCTGAAAGATATGAGAGGCGGGGATGAGAAATGTTGTGGGTGTCATGGTCGGTGAGGAGAATGGCATGGTTTTTAAGGAAAATGTTTTTGGCTATGAGTTTTGAGGAAAAAAATATATGTGAGAATAATTTTGGTCCTGTCGCCATTGTCACTCGGAGGAGACCTGAAGGCATCAGCACTAAAAATATTTTAACCCATTGAAAAGCTGATGAAAGCAATGTCTCGGCCTAGGACCTTCATTGGAAATAGTCAATAATCTCAAGTGCCTTGTCCAAAAAGTTGACAAAGATAACGTAGTTCAGAAAATGGAATAGAGGCCTTACAGGATTTAGGGTGGGAAGAAGAGAATAGTAAATTTAGTGACTGTACTAGATTTAACATAGCTGGATGTGAGTAGGCTATCCTTGGCGTAATGTCCAAAAAGTTAACTGAGATTTCAGAGACCAGTGATGTGAATTTAATGGAGGGGTTAAAAGAGCCTACAAGGTTAATGAAATATCAAATTCAATCTTCTCCATAATGATGACCCCAATAAATCATCAATGTAGCCTACCTTTGTTAGCTGGTTTGATGATAATATCTTTCCAGCTTAGAAGTGTCTTCGATTCTCTTTTATAAAGATAAAAGTGGCGGATTGGAGTCAAAGGGAGGTTCTTGATGCCATTTTCGTGCTACTGGTGTAGAGGTGTAAAGCCTTGGATTGGTTAGATGGTGGTGGGCAATTTTAGATTTGCGTTCTCTATGAAACGGGAACAACTCATCTTCTGGTAGGGTGGTATTTTTTTCTCATCGAAGTGAAACTGAAGTCTCAAAGAACGAAAGAAGCGGTGGGAATATTAAAGTAGTTGATAGCTATCTCAGGATCGTTCAAAAGGGAATAAATTTAAGACCTTTAGAGAGAAGATATTTTTCGTCATCACAGAGCGAAATAAAAATAAATTAATTAACGTTTCAAAGATTGCCTAAATGTGTCCATCCAATTAATGGACATCTACCTAAAATCACGGGAAACACTTGCATTGGATGGCACAAGATGAAAGAAACCACACAGCAAGGCAACGCAGAACTGCCTCCATTAACAACGGAACTCCAAAAAACTTGTGTTCTACATGTGAGAAAGCTTACAAATGCCCCCCCCCCCCGCGTACTCACCATCAAATATATCATTGGTTGTCTTCGCAAAGGACGAACAACAGCAACAACAAGAAGAAAATATAAGGCACAATAAAATACACCATCATTTTAAGCACTGTTAGGGGAGGGCATTTCTTCTTATTTCTTAAAATAGAGAAAATATGTTTTAGATGAGAATGGGGAGGGGGTATTATTTTTTAAGCTTAAATGTTAATTCAACTTCGTATTTCAAGAACATGATTTAATTAACTACGGTTAATACAGTAGCCAAATATGCAGTGCATTGCTCATGAACAAAAGTCAAACTCGAATTGAGAATAATTAATTATGTAAAATGCAAAAATAAAAAATACTTCTAAGTGATTGTAGAATCTGTTCAGTACAACAGTGCAAGAATATATAGTGGGTTAAAACTTGATTATCTTAAAGTAATTAAGTTAGTAATCTTTAAGTTACTTTAAGCTAATCAACTGTACAAGAATGTACCACATTCCAAAAGTATCATTAAAGTTTAAAAGTTCGTTATGTTTCGTTAAATAGTATAATCATTCTTTGAGCACCCTTGAATGACAGTGACAGTATTTCATTAATTGCAACAGTTCACACAAAGTCAAATTCTATACATAATTAATTTCAAGTTTTTTTTGTGTGTATTATTTAGGGTTTAAGTCAGCCAATACTTTTAAGTGTTAAAATTTAACACAGAGGAGCTAAAAGTGGTAATCAATTTAATTGGGCCTACTAATACAACTATGCCCATGCATGCAGTTAGCTGGAAGTATTTATTTTGAGAAGAGTTGTCTCCGTTTTGTTTTAGTTTTAACTTAAACACTTCAATTAATCAATAGTAGACCAAGACAACAGACTTAATATGAGTTAAAGAGGCAGTAAAAAGTTTCATTTTCACAACAGTATGTAATGTATAGTGTAACATTCAGAATTACGAGAGGATATTGTTAGGAATAGACTTTGTCTTTGATGTGGTCGTGGTTGAGTCTGAGTCCGTTGACATTGTCATTGTCTGCCTTGGGCCTTGTCAAATTCAATTTGAGTTGTAAATGAGTCAATGGCAATGTCATTCTTAATCTAGATACTTCGATGAAAGAAGGGAGACTACTATTTTTTTGTATCGGAAATGGGCGTCGGCGCCGAAAAATCCGAGTTTTTAATTTTCCGATGTGTGTGTCTATTTATTATTAAATTAGTTCTTTCCACATATATTTGAGTTCCGTTTCCGGCCTTATAATTTGGAAGACATCTTGGCCTACATTTCTAGCCAGCTATTTTGCTTTTTTCAATCGACCTTTATTTTGAAAATCTTTGGTATATATAAGGCATCTTCGCATACAAAATTTTTTGTGAAATAATAAGATAAGGTCCTTTTTTATTAAATCTGTATGAGCATTAGATATTGATCTATATCTGTGCCAAGTTTCATTGATGTAGGTCGTGTCCCACGTTTGTTACACTTGTCACAGTGACCCATATCACCATAAGGTGGCTCAGCCTAATTTCGACATGGCTTGGGCCACGCCCCCTTTTTAATGGCGGAAGTTGCCGATACTTAGGAAATATTTAATTATTACCACTATATACATCAAA